GGACATAAGAGTAGCTCAGAGGTGATACCTTGAGGTACCTACCTTCTCTTCTGGCAGGTAACCTAGGTTTTAAGGCACATGTTCTTTTAGGGAATTCTTTGGCAGAGCTGGGTGAGATTCAGGACTAATGGGAAAAGGTGTTCATGTCTGGAGAGTACCAAGAGGCACAGCAGGTAACTTCCCTCACCAGACACCCCTATCTGCCTGATTTTCAATCAAGAATTCACCTGCAGATTGCCCTAGCAGACATACCTTCTCCATGGAGCCTACCAACTTACAAAGAGATTATCCTGAATAGATCATCTGGATCCTCAACCTGGCTTTCTGCTTTTAGTAGTCAAGCCAGCCTTCTTGCATTTGTCCCTCCCATCCCTGAACTGTAGAATCATAGAAGATGATTGGAAGAGACCTCAGAAGGCCATCTAGTACAACCCCCAAACTGTGTATTACAGCTCCAATTTTCAACAAGAAAAAAGCTGAGAGAAACTACATTCACCCTTTCCAAAATACATCAAGTGTCGTTGTCCCCCAAGGACTCATTCAGCCTTTAAATTTTATGTAAGCATGATGGCAGATTTGGGACTTGGGGAAGGACCAGAAAATGGCTTTATGGTCAAATTCAGAGAGGGTGTCCCACATAAAGAGCTGCACAGAAGAAACTGTGAAGATTATTATGAGAGAGGTAGACAAATAAGGAGCTGAGGCTGGCATTACTGGTGATGGGGAGGTGATAACACAACAGCAGATAGGAATAGATTTGTGAATGATCAATTAAATTTGAGACACATTCCACAAATCCAGAGACCAACAATCAAACTAGAACATAGGACTAGTCATGATTGCTGTGGACTGAAATCCTCCAGCATTTTTGTGTGTGTTTGTTTGGGGGGTGGGGGGGATTTTGTAGCTCTCCAGTGATTGCTCTAGTATTACATTCTTAAAGACAAAGAAAATATTCTGGCGGTACTACATGAAAAGTAGAGCTTATAGAAACATCCTAGTCAAGTCCAAAATCTTTTTTTATTTTTTTTTTGGCGTCTCAGCTTTGGGGGGAAAAGCCAGTACCGTTTTTAGAAAGCAACGAAGCAGCCAACGCAGAGGTGACAGAAAGGTCTTGAGACTGCAGAAGACTGCCTGAGCTCCACACAGCTATTTTGGATTAGCCAGATTTTCATCCTGGCCATATATTGCAGAACAGCGGGCACGTTCAGTTGTGGCTAAAATGCAGGCAGGAGAATCCCTGCACGCAATGCTCCATGCCAAGCGCTGTGACATGCAGAGTCGCAGGCTGCAACTCCCTATCAAAAAGGAATAGAGCTACAGTTTGATCCATTTTACACACGTTAGGTGCAGCTCTCAACGGAACCCCATGAACATCAGAAGAATGAGTCCAAGTGGCAAGGGAGAGAGGGCATGGATGGGATACATTCACTTGGAAGACTCTGGGAGCGGGGGAGAGAAGAGCCAGACACAGCTGATACTTACATGGAGTTGAACATGCCCATGAGGGCAGTGAAGCAAAAGCCAATTGCAAACATAGACTTCATTCGAACCTGCAATCAGAGAGGTCAGAGAGGTTCATTATTGACAGCTAATGCAGAAAGAAGCCATTAGATCTTACTGTGAGTCCATCTGTTCAAGAACTCCTCCTAAACTGTCAGAACTAGGATGACCAAATTTGATATGCAGCTTCCTCTTATTAGAACTTAAAGCAAGTTCAGAGTTTGGTTGTGCCAGGATAATGGGATGTGGGTGGAACTCAATTGTTTCTCATAAAATGAAAAGGAAAGGGACTGGCAGAAGGCAGGTATGCTGCAGAATGACCATAGAGGGACAACAAGGGTCCAGAGATGGGGACTGGGCCAGCAGGGGTGGAGAAAGGGACAGCTCTCTACTTTCTATTTCAGAGTGTTTGTCTGTTTGCGTGTCTATCTGCATGTCTGTCCCCCAGCCAGGGGACATGCACCCCTCCCCCAGCTGTGCCCGCTGGAGTGCAGTACTGGCTACAAGCTGGCCACACTCTGCTGAAGTGAGAGAGGGCTAGGATTGTCCTCTCTTTCCGTGGCAGCCTGCATACTGAACCCTTCATTCCCAGCCCCACCCCAGAGCAACGATTTAAAGGAAGAAAAACAATACTTATTTGAGGTAAGGACCCAAGCAATGCCAGATACATTTTCCAGCTAAAAATGAAGACAAGTCCCGCAGTTAGGGCTTAGAGGCTTTAACACTGAATACAGAGGGTGTGCAGCAGCCTCAGGATCAAAAGAGAAGGCAACCTTGCCGCTTACTCTCTCAGCTTGTAGGAGAGGAGACCAGGCCAAAAAACAAAAAAAAATCTTAAGAGGGGCTGAAGAACGACAAATACTGAAACAGCCATGAGTGGCACAACGGGTGCGAAGAGCTTGTGGAGGAAAAGGATTGCTCGAGGCTGTCCTGTTAACCAAGAGGTGACGACGCATACAGAAAGGAAGTCCCCAGGAACCATAAGAAGGGAAGGGAAATGACAAATGCAGTCAGCTCACTAGGACAATGGAGAGTGAGGGGGAATGAGAATTAAAGAAGCTATGCGTGAAGAGAAGGGGACACTGAGTGTAGAACTCGGTGAGCCACACTGCAGCTTGCAGATGTCAAAGGTGTAGCCCATGAAGACAAGTGAATATGAGCACCTACTCGCTCTGTTTTAGAGCCTTAGACGTTAAGGGTGACCCTGTACCTCCTGGAGAGCTCAAGATTGAGCCCTTCACTAGTGTGGGCATTGCCCCTAATTTACAGCATTCTTACCATTGACAGGTCCCTGTTGTTGTTCTTCAGCTTCTCTTCTTGCCTCTCTGTAAAGTGGTGAAGAACACAGACGTTATTCCAATCCAGGCACCAGAATGATTTCACTTCCTTGTTAGCCAAACCAGTAAGAGTTCCAAGAGAGACACCAGCTCTGTATGCCAGACATTAGTGTGAAAAATGGCACACGGCCAACTGTCCTTGAATCACACAGCAGAACAATTATGAGAGGTTTGTCAACATTCAATGCACAATATGCCAAGATTGCCAGCTCCGAAAATGTACATGGCAACTGGAAAATCAAATTTTAAAAAAATCAGACAGTGCCAGCATATTGTATACTGAAGTAGTGTTGCTCTGAGAACGTTATTTGCACATCTAACCTTATTAGCTGTGTGGATATGCTGCACTATATACATTAGCTCATCCTTCATTACAGAGCTGTCCACAGGGATTCCAAGGTCAGATCACCAAGGCTGCACTTACAGTAGGATGAAAATCCTAACGTTTCAGACTTCAAAAGCATCTAAGGAACAATTTGTACAAAAATTGAATTTTCTCTGCTATAAGTAAAATATGCACTAGCTTTCTGCACAGACCACTTTAAAATACTCTTCTCTGAAGCATTACACTGTACGCCCTCCCATGTCAGTCATCACAAACTCCAAGTTTCACGTATCCTGATAACGTCTCACACAAAGGCCACTCCAAATTTTTTTTAAGTTAGTCATTTTTATTTCCCTGATTCAGGAGTGCTCTTTTGTGCTATGCCATGGTTAGCCACTGGAGCGGTCGCGTTTCAACCGCTATTTGCACTGCCCCTACTTTGCCAGACCCAGAGACAACCTGGGAAAGCCAGGATAGGGGGTCGAATAGGAATGTGGAAAACCAAGAGATATGGAAGAGGGAATGTGAACGAAGCCTGCGGTAGTCTGTGGCAATGCAGGGGTTGCAGAGTCCTGCATCTCTGTAACAGGGTATTAACACAACAGGTGGACCCCAAACACTGTTGCTGTGAGACTGCAGAACCCGGAAGGTCTGTCAAGCCCCAAAGTCATAAGCAGCTGGCTATAGGGGGTTACAATAGGAAATGTTAGGTGAAGCAGAAGTAACATATCTCATCTCTCCCCCTTGTGTCCAGTTGCTAATAATTAATCTTAACAGTATCACATTTTTAAACTAATTTTGACATCAAAACAAAACACTAGTGTCTACTCTGGCTCTTTGTCAATAACAAGAGGAATGTGAGTCTTCATAGGGATGGAAATTTTTGGTCACCAAAACTGGAAACAAAACAGAGAGTATACACACTGCAATGTGACTTTTGTGAGGGGAAAATGCCCAAACAGCAGTTTTTTTATGACAAACTTTGGTAGCGTAGACAAGGCCCAAGGGAAACCGCATCTGTAAATGTGGGATTGACACTTCACTAGCTCAAAAGGGCATTGTGAAAATAATTTCATTGGTGTTGGTGAAGCACTCATACTTCAGTGAATAGATGAGAAGTCCAAAGGGAAATAAGGCATTCCTTGGCCACAGCAGGGTTTGGATACAAGCTGTAAATAAGGTCTAAGTCCACACTAATTAATGAGGATAAGAAGGAACAGCAAAAAGCTTCTTCATTCACTATGCACTTCCATCCTACGCTCTGAATGAGCCAGAGATTCTCTGGGATACAGATATGTCATTGTGTAATTAAGGCCTGGTACCATAATGCACAAGGGGAAGGAATTAAGGTTCTAAACCTGGGAGAAGTCCAGAGATCCCAAGTTTGATATCTAGGAAAAGCTCTTAAATGATTTAAGCAGAGGTTTTATAGCTATTCTGAGCCTTGCACAGAACTGACTGTAACAAAGACACCTGCTTTTATAGGAAAAAGGACAAAAACACAGTCCAAATAAGTTTTGTATTTGTCTAGAACATTACAGATAAAAGTTCTCCTTAACTCAACTGGCTGTTCTGCATCACTCACTCACGCCTTTAACATTTGTGAGTAATGCAGCTAACCTACGCCCATATGCATTTCTTCTCCTAGAGCCTCAGACAAAAGATGTTGAGATGGTTTTAAGGAGTATACATCGGTAATTTAAGGGAAAAGACACATTAAATGAATGTTGTAATTATTCCACAACCAAATGCTACAAACACAGCTGAGACCAAGTCTGAAAAAGCTGAACACATACGGCTATAAAGATGCAGTTATTACAAACATCCTTGACTCCAATCTACAGTGATGCTATGAAGAAAAAAAGAAAAAAAAAATCTAACCTCTAAAAAGATAGGGACCACAAGCACTAACACACATTACAGCAATCCCACAGTTATTGCACGTTGATAATGCACTACAGCAATGAGCTCTCAGAGACAGCATCTGAGAACAGTTAAGACTAAAATATTCCTTGGTCTGGGTCCATGTGAACCAATCCTGCTTAGGCAGCAGTATACTTTGGAAATCCAATGCCACTGGGTTTGCCTAAGGTCAACCTAAAATGGAAAAGGCTAGTTCCCCTGAAAGATGTTTCCATAGGGAAAAAGAGAAAGTCACATTTTAGCTATCCCATCAAGAACCAAGTCTCCTTCCATTCCTAAATAAAGCATTACGGTTTTAACCGTCAGGGGAAGAGGAAAGGAAAAGGAAAAAAGTCACCTCCAGCAGCTTTTCTTCACAGCTTCCCCCTCACTTTTGGAGCATCACATCTCCCCTCCCCAAATCTTACCTATTTTCTTTTTTTGCTGTCGTCCTGCTGATTCAGTTATCGTTTCCTTCTTCTTTTCTACTGCAAAGGGCAAAGACAACACTGAATCACTTTCTCCACTGTTTGTATGAATTATACTACAAAACCCTTCTCCTCCCTCGTATACCCAAAGTCTTCATGCAAACGGGCAAGAAAATGCAGAAAACAAGATAGAGATATATGTCTATGATATAAGTTCAATGTCACAACCTGACAGAGGAGAACTGGTATAAATGTTTTCAAGACCAGGAATCTGAGTTTTTCAGGCCTAAATGAGGAAAAGAACAATTTCAATCCCTATCAAGAGCTAGAATTTTAAAGCCTGCCGAAGGTGATTCAAGGAGCCAGAATATCATTTTATCATTTAACAGCTCTTACTTGATTTGCCATTATGAATTCTAGACAGTACTTGCAATTCAGCAAGTGTGATGAAATGAGCTTTATGGGAAACTATGACCTAGCTATCTGCAAGTGGGATGCAGAACACAGAAAGGCCTCTGTTCTGTTCCATGGAGAATGCCTGCCTGTGCAGAAGAGACAGAAGTGCTGTCCTAGCAGTCTGGCACAAGCAGATCCATTCTTGCTGCCCATCCAATCAGGGCTGAAATAATTTTTATCTTCAAAATATTGAAAGTACGCATCAAGTTCAAACCTAGTTACCAAAGCTACCAGAAAACCAAATAAGACAACCAATCTAGACTGCAGACATTCCACAAATGGCTAGAAGCAAAGCCAACAGATATTCACAAGCTAGACTGCTGCTGACCTGCTGATACTGTGATCCAGCAAATTTGCTTTTCAATCTGCAAATGGAATCACCTCCATGAGCAGAGAAATTTTTTGACTGATGTTCTCAGAAAGGGAAAGCCAAGTTTTAGTTTCAGGTTTGTATAGCCAATACCACAATATGAAAATGGGATAATAAATGTTATAAGTACGGTTAGGATACGCAATATTGATAGCTTCCCCCTCTCCTCCCAACAGCACATCTGTATCGTATCTACTTTATAAACAAACCCATTTTCAGTCCCGTTTCCCAGAGTCAGCAGTGCAGAGTTCCGTCTCACATATTAGTACATCAGTTTGGTTTTAATGGAAGAATTTGTATTCCTGGCAAGGACCACAGTTCTCTGTAAGGAGCATGCTTGTGTGGCTGCGCACAAAGGTGTAAAAGGATGTGCACTTAGTGGTGTGCAGATTGGCTCCATTAATTAGGTGCGTCCTGGACCTTGGAGAGGACTTGGAGGAAGGTGAGATGGGGGGCAAAATATGGGGTTGGGGTAGGTGGGGGACAAGGAGTATGGGGCATCTTGACTCCCAGCAGAGCTTTGGCGGCAACCAAGACAGGAAAGAGAGTCGGACTCTCACAGCATAGCAGTCTCAGTTGGGGTGCCACTGCCGAGAAGAGAGAACTCACTCCCAGCCCCAGGCTGGGCTGGCGGAAGCAGGCTGCACAGAGGTGAGGGGGATGAGGTGGGTATGGGGGAGTTTAGGGTGTCCCAATTTTTTACAGGTCTCTGTTGCACTTGCATATCATGGAGCCTATATGCTCAATTAAAATACCCGTAATCAACTATCTGGCATCTTACTTCCCTTTGTATTTTCAAGTGTTGCCAGTAGCTTATTTGTTTGTGGCTTTGTTTGCTGTCTACATTGCTTTATTACTTATTTGTATTGTTCTATGTGTGTGAAGTATTAATCAAATTAAGAGTTGACATGACAAAGAAACTGTATATACCTGAGTGAATGCCTTTTACTCGCCTTTCAAGGGTCAGAAAATAGTGCATTAATAGTTTTAATGAGAGCATGACTACTTCTAGCTGACTCAAATTTGCTTAACATATTAAAGCTGGGCAATGTGTGCAGATAATAGGCAGGCAAGAGGGATAGTTCTGTGAACTGCAAAAGTCCATAGCATGCTAGTGTTCTGGCAGATGTCTGATTCTATGATTATAAAAATTGGGCCTCTGATGCATATTTTTTATGCTTTTACTTAATGGACACTTTGTTTTATTCATACAACTATTTTCAGTATGCTCCATTTTGGTGCGTTTATTAGCTTGAGATGTTACAAAGGATGATAAAATACTTGTACTTCGAGGGTAGTGTTAAATTTTCTTTTATTTGATTTCACATTAAATAAACATTTAACCCGTGCACCTTGTTATTTATCCCTTGTTTTAATATTTTTCTTCTTCCAAACTTATGAACTGTTTAAAAATATATAGATTTTTTTGTTTGTACTGGTAGAGCATATCCACACATTACTTCGATATTGGTGTTGCACATAAGAAAATTCAATCCATGCATGGGTGGAAAATAATAGAAGGAAAACTGGTCCTGGCCAAAACAGAAAGACCACGCCTAAATTTTCAGGCCACAGGAGAATCTGTGATACTAATTGACAAAAGTTTTGCGAGCCATAAACCAACCTTGCACAATTGTCAATAAAACTTAAATAGCACAGGCACAAAACCTATTCATCTGCTTTTACCACAATGTTGTTGATGAAAAAGTTAATCATGAAGTTTACTTATCTATAAACTAAAAATCACACATGTCAGGCAAGCAGGCCAGCAGGATTATGCAAGGATGATGCAAGCTGAGCAAAGGTCACTAAGAGTAAATACAATTGCATAACATTGTTATTCTTACTGTAACCACACTTCAGTCTTACAACTTTTTCTATTGTCAGATAATAATCAGACATCTATCCTGCAACTTTCAGGCTCGCTGAGTTCTGAGACAAGGCTGTACCATATACCAGAAGAATGTTTTGTTGAGAGATTAAATCATAAGCACTCCCCGATCTAACAGCCCTAATTTATTCACTTTCAAGGCTCATCTGTTTTCTGTAGCTGTGATAGAATGGCAAGGCTCTTACAGAGGAGCCCAGTGATCTTATCTCTAAGGGTTTGTTTTATTGGTTCTTGCTATGGGTACCTTGACAAATGACTGAAAGCTGTGGCAGGAGTTGTCTGTTTTACAGTTGTATGCTTAAGAATGGTTAAGGGCTTCCTAGGACAGATAAGTGCACCTTTTAAAATGGATATGTGGATAAATTGTGATTAAGAAATACTAATCAAATGTGAAATTGTAACTAATGTTTTTCTCAACTCTGTCATTGAAGCTGTAACTCATAAGCAATTATTACTGATGTTGATGCATGCACCTCACACCTGGCACTTTGTGGACACGTGAAAATGAGTTAGGAGGAATTACAAAATAACCAGAGTAAAATCTCTACAGAAATAATAACATACCAGAGATTAATCTATACAAGCTGCTGCTAAGTTCCACAGCACTCAAATGAGTAGGACATTATCCTGAAAATCCAGCAGAGGATTTAGGTTGCTTTCATAACTTATACTAGTAGGTTTTATCCATAGCTCCTCTGCACTGTCTTATACCTTCTGGAACTGATCTTCTCCAGAAGGCTCAGGAAAGAGGGAGACAGAAGCCAACCCAAATCTTCTGTCAAGCTACCACTTGCTTAAATCCATCACTTCACTTATTTGTACTGATGCTTTTGTGCTCTCCTCTTATCTTATATCATAGACCTTCTAACTCTTCCTCCTCTTTATCCTCTTCCCTCTGTCACCATTTCTCATTTCAACTCATTTCCCTCCCTCCTTCTCCAACCTACACACACACAGAAGTCGCATGAGTTTATACAAGGTCTTCTTTCTTCTGTCATTTCCCCCCACCACCACTACAAAAACATCCTCATCTCCTCTGACACCTTTAATCTAATTTTTTATCTATGCCTCTCTAGTCTGTCATACCATTCATCCAACCACAATTCTTTTTGTTTCCAATAACTCCTCCTGTTCTCTCTCTCCTTCCTCCCCAGATCTGGGCTCCCTCTCAAAGAACACAGGCAGTCTCCATGAGTTCACCTCAGTGCAGCTGGTGGACTCTAGATACACAATCAATGGTTAATCATGCTAAGGAAAGGAAATCTTACACCTATCTCTGTTCCTCCTCCCCATTCTTCAATGGAAGTTAGGTAGGGGGTGGAATTAAAATCAGAACAAGTCTTAGTACTAACCCTCTGCCTTCCAGCAAAGGACAAAAAAATAAAAAAGCTAGGGGCTGGTACCTTCAGATCAGAATGGAAGCAGTCAGGTGTATAGCTCCCAAGTATTCTGTGGTGAGGCAGAGACCCTCAGGAGTAAATGAAAGGTACCTCTTGCCAAGAGCAGACACTATTTTGAAAAATCCTGAAGAAGAAAACAAGGAGACAACAAGAACAGCCATATTTCCTATAGATTCAAAGGTAACACTTACATTTTTTGCTTTGTTTTTCCACCTCAGCTTTCAGTCTCTTGTATTTTTCTGTTCTGTAAACCAGCACCCATGTTATACCTGCAGTAAACATCAGACAAAATAAGGGGGGAAAAGAGTGACTTTCTATATAGCTCTATTGCAGTTTTCCCCGAGGTACCACGGCATTTAGATTTGGGTGCATTAACAAGGAGAAAGAAACCCAGAGAAGAGCAGCGAACAGTAAGCAGACAGCCGTCTTTGCCAGGTAAGGATCTGAAGGTGCAACCGTATGCACCATCAGGCTTATCGGCTAACGTTCACGATTACTCGTCGGCTCCTGTGCAGACCAGCTCCCAGGGAGCCTCCTCCCCACCTGCTACCTCTTTATCAGACACAGCTGCGCAGCGGGAGGGGGAAGGCAGGAGCCAGTTTGCACAGGGAGCCGCCTGCCACCCCACGTGTAACACTGTCACAGCGGACATGTTCAGCAATGATACGACCAGGGCACGGAGTCACCCCAAGGCCCTGCGGCCCGGGCAGGCCTGGCCCCAGTTACCGCTGCAGCCCCGGCCAGAGAGGAGCCACGGGGCGCCCCGGCTGCTCGCTGGGTCACGCCCCCCGCTCACCCTCGGCCAGCAGCGCCGTGCACACCGAGATGAAGACGATGAGGACGGTGTCGGCGAACATGGTACTCATGGTGCCCCAGGCCCCGGGAGAGACCCTCCCCCCCGACGCACACCACCACACCGGAAGCTACAGAGGCCCCCGCGGGCAGCCCAGC